GTGGGGAGATACTGGCAGCTGCTGGCAGGGGTAGGATGATGGAAGGAAGAACTGGGATGTGGGGATGGCGGAGTGGAGGAATGTGAAGGAGGCGTGGGTGAGATGAGAAGGGTATTCCCGGGCCTCAGGCCTATGCCCGTCGCCGCTCTCACCCGAATGAAGCTCCACATCACATGGCATTGAACGGCCCCACACTCGGCAACGGCGGCTCCTCTCCCTCCGGCTTCCGTCAGAGAGCCTCAGGCCTACACTCTCCGCTTCCTGGGTGTCCGCGCTTTCTCGCTCCTCTGCCGGCTTTGGGCCGTTGGTCCCTCGAACCTTCCCCCTGACACGGGAATAGCCACCTCCGTTCCGTCTACCCGCCTGCTCCAACCTCGCCGCCGTCGTCTTCGTCCTCTGACACGACCCCCTCCAAGCTGGCCACGCCCTAACCCGCTCCGGCCACGCCCCCTGTGCCGACCACGCTCACCACGCCGGCCACGCCCCATCGTGCTGGCCACGCCCCGACGCCGCATCGTCCTCGCTGGCTCCGTCCCCACCGCGCTAGCCACGTGTCCTCACAGAGCTGGCCCCGCCCCCTCCGCTCCATCCCCGTCCTTCCACACGAGCCACGTTTCCTCGCGGCGTGGCCCAGCTCGGCCGCAACTCCTTGACGTCTGCCGCGCCCCCAATACCCGCGCAGGATTTGCCCCGTCCTCTCCAGCTCCGGCTCCGCCCACAGCAGCCGCCTGTTCCTCCCCACCGGCCCCGCCCTACCACGTAGGCCACGCCCCTCCCTTCAACCCTGCCCCTTTTCGAACCCAGAAGACCAGCGCCAGGGCGAGGCCATTCAGCCCCTTGAGCCATTCCTCTATTCAAGGAGATCTGTTTATTCTCAACTCCACTGTACTGCCTCTTCACCATAACCCTTACTGATTAAAAATCTCACTGCTCCAGCCTTGTATATAGCTACGACCAAGTCTCTTCTGCCCTGTGCAGTGAAGAAATCCACAGAATCCGCTACTTTCTAAGAGAAATAAATCCTCTTCACCTTTGTCCTAACTGGGCAGCCCTTTATTCTGAGATGATGCCGTCTGATGGTAGACCCTCCCAAAAAGGGAAACAACCCCTCCACATCTACTCTGTCATATTCCCTAAAAATCTTATATGTTTCACTAAGGTCACCTCTCATTCTTCTAAACTCCAATGAATACAGTCCCAACCTCTCCTGATAAGACAGCCCCTCCATCCCCAGGATCAGTCTAGTGAACCTTCTGTGAACTGCCTCCAACGCTAGTATTTCATTCCTTAGGTAATGGGACCAAAACTGTTCACAGTATTCCAGCTGGGGCCTAACTACTGCCTTGTATATTTTTAGTGAGACCTCCTTATTTTGCCCTTCATTTGCTTTGAACTAAAGGTCATTCCCTATTTCCATATGGGGTGGCACGTTGCCTCCGTGGTTAGCACTGCTGCTGCACATTACCAGGGACCTGGGTTCAACTCCACCCTCAGATGACTATCTGTGTGGAGTTTGCACGCTCTCCCTGTGTCTGTGTGGGTTTCCTCCATGTGCTCTAGTTTCATCCCACAGTTCAAAGATGTGCAGGTTAGGTGGATTAGCCAGGGGAAGTAAGGTGTGGAGGGGTGCTGTTTGGAGGCTCAGTATAGACTTGATGGGCTAAATGGCTTCTATCTGCACTTTCAGGATTCTATAATTCCCTGGTACTTGTTGAACATGGATGTTAGCTGTCGGCTGAACCTGCCTTCAGGCAAATAACTCAAGGAAAAAACCTGTTTAACCTCTCATGATCTCAGTTTAACTAATCCTTGTGAATCTGTTTTAGCAACGTCTTAATTGCTGCTGTGTTCTTGTGAAATGGAGACATAAACTATTCAAAATATTTGTAAGCATGGTCTAACCAATATTTAAAACAAGGCTCACACAACTTCATCAACCTAGAAGTGAGCTCGAAGTTTTGTTTCACTCTTTCGACAGTGTGTGTCATTACTTTTAAATTATTTTTTATTCTTTCATGGGATGCTGGTTGGGTTAGCATTTATTGCCCAGGAACAAAAATCAAAGTTACTGGAAAAGTTCAGCAGATCCAGCAGCATCTGTGAAGAAAAATCAGAGCTAACACTTCGAGTCTGGTGACCCTTACTCAGAACTGGCCAGCCCTAATTACATCTTGAGAAGGGGCAGATGAGATGCAGTCACTGGGGCATAGACACACCCGCAGTGCTATTAGGGAGGAAGAAATTGCAGGATTTTGACCCAGTGACATTGAAGGAATGTCAGGACGGTGTGTGGCTTAGAGGGGAACTTGCATGTGGTTGGTGTTTCAATGTCTCTGCAACCCTTGTCCTTCTGGATAATAAACATTGCAGGTTTAGAAAGTGCTGTGGGAGCGGCCTTAATGAGTCATTGCAGTGCATCTTGTAGATGATACACATGGCTCCTACTGAGTGTCGGTGGTCGAGGGAGTGGATGTTTCAGATGTGGATGTGTCGCCAGTCAGTTGGGGCTGTTTTGTCCTGGATGCTGTCGAGCTTCTTGCACATTGTTGGATCTTCATGCTTCCTGGAAAGTGTCAAATATTTCATCATATTCCCGACTTGCAAATAGTGGAAGGTTTTAGGGTGTTAGGCGGTGGGCTACTTGTCACAGACTTTCAGGCCTTTGACTGGCTTTTATAGATGCAAATGTGTGGGCCTGGTCTAGCATCTGGTCATTTGCAGTCTCCAGGGTGTTGTTAGTTGGGGGTGGGGGTGTTTGGTGATAGTAATGCCAATAAATATCAACAGGGAGATGGTTAGATTCTCTCGTTTGAGACGGTCATTGCCTGGCACTTGTGTGATGCAAATGTTACTCCTCACGAACCAACCCAAGCTTGAAAGTAGGCCAGGTCATACTGCACAGGGACATGGGCTACTTCTGTATGTGAGGAGTTGTGAATGGGGCTGAATATTGCCCAACAAACAGGGAACATCCCCACTGCTGACCTCATGACAGAGGGTAGGTCATTGATGAAGCACCTGAATGTGGTTGGGCCTAGGACACAATCCTGGGGAACTCTGGTTCTTGTGGCACAATGACAGTGTCCCTACCCCTGAACCAGGAGTTCTGGGTTCAAGTCCCACCTGCTTGAGGGATGATAATGTATCTGAACAGGTTGGTTAGGAAAACATCTACCTGAAGAACTCCAGCAGCGATGTCCTGGAACTGAGAAGATGGACCTCCAACAATTACAACTATGTGCCTATGTATGACTCCAACCAGCAGTAAATGATTGCAATTCCACTTTCCCATTTAAACTCATTACTAGCCAACTCAGTGAGTTAATACAGTTGTCACCAATGAGTTAACGTTGGTAAGACTTGCACCATCCCTTCAAACCTACCAGCCTCAAACAATAGCTGTGACTTGCAATAGTCCCTCTCAATACATTTAAGTCAATCATGTGTCTTCTCAATCCAATCCAGGGGCTCCCAAATCTTTCCAAGAGCCTGATTTCAAGGCTGGAAAGGTGTTAATAGTCATGAGCCCTCAACAAAAATTGTCAGTGTGAGGAAGAGAGTGAGACAGACCTGTAGGAACAGGCAGCAAGAGGTATGCGTCTCTAAGAACACAGTGAGAGAAATACAGAGTGTTGTGAGGGGTGTGGACGTTTTTTAAAAGCATGAGAGGATTATCATTGTTAGTGCTGCAGGAGCCAGGCCTCAAGGTCGAGTCATTTAGTTCCTGCTCACAGCTTGGGTGGAAGAAAAAGGTACCATTTAAAGTGATATCGCAGCTGTGCACTCATTCGGAGCTGCCCATATTGCATTACAGCCTCAAGAATTCGTAACCCCAAAACCTCAGACTTGAACCCCATCCAGGGCAGGATGCACCCTCTCCCAATTTGATCTAGTGCCTTACGCTTCTCTAAACTTTTTTAAACAAAGTGACTGCGCCGTCAGCAAAGTTTCTGGCATTCGTCTGCAGCTGTCTGAGCCAGGGCTTCCCAAAGATGGGGTCAAGACTCTAAGTGAGGTCACGAGCTGATATTTCAGGGTCTGAGGCTGCAATGGCCACCGCAAACTTTGACCGAGTGAGAAAAGAAAGTGCTCCAACAGGCCCCTCCTCTGTTTCAGTTCTCACTGAAGGGTCTGAACAATTCTCTGGCCTTGAAAAGGGGTCTCAGTGGGAAAAGGCACAATTACAACGTTTAAAAGGCATCTGGATGGGTACATGAATAGGAATGGTTTAAGAGGGATACGGGCCAACTGCTGGCAATTAGGACTAGATTAATTTAGGATACCTGGTCGGCACAGAGGACTTGGACCGAAGGGTCTGGTTCCATGCTGTCCATCTCTATGACTTTAACTACTGCTAGTCTGGGCATCAGTTTGCACTCAATACTGCAAATTCTGTTCAATGCACCTAAGATGCTGAATGGAGACTTGTTGAATTGTGTTGCCTTCACTGTAAGTTTCAAATTGAAATGCTTTGTAACGTACATTTACAAATTTTTATGAAACAATTATTTTTTGAGAAGTCCGATGTTTAACGTAAGCATATGAAAGTTGGCTGCACTTTCTTAAGCCTTTCCGGTTTGGATGCAGACCCACTGAGCAAGGTAGAATCAGAATTTTAAATTAATCCTCAAAATGATAGATTTGATGGTGGGATGATCATTGGCAGTAGCACCTTTGATTCAAATGAAAAAGGCGATTTTTAGAACCTAGGTTATAGAAGTTTTAGAATTTTTACTGCAGGAGATCCTCAAGAATAGATATTTTCTAACCAATTTGTTCAGCGATGCCACTACACACCTCTAGAGCAGGTGGGTATGGGCCTAGTGTCTCAGAAGTCGGGACACTACCACTGCAGCACAAGAATCCAAGCTCCTTAGGGAAGTGTCCTAGGCCCAAACAATCTTCAGCTGCTTCATCAATGACCGTCCCTCCACCATAAGGTTGGGTTGGCTGATGGTCACACAATGTTCAGCACCATTCCTGACACTTCAGGTACAAAAGTATTTCATTGTTCAAACATAGCAAGACCTGGGCTACATTCAGGCTCAGGCTGAGATATGACAAGTAGCAATCTCTCTCTCTCTCTCACACACACACACACACACACACACAAGTGCTAGGCAACGACCAATCGTTCGATGATGTAAAATCACCAGAAAAGAATTTCCACCTTTGAGGATCCTTAAAGGACTAGATAGTGTTAGCCAGGACAAACTAGTTTACGTTGTTAACAGCAGAACCAGATCAGAGGATACAACTGAGTAAGTCCTCTCAAGTTTCCCCAGAGTCTGCCCATCATCTATAAGGCACAGGTCAAGAGTGTGATGGAATATTCCCCACTTGCCTGGATGGGTGCAGCTCCAACAGCGCTCAAGAAGCTCAACACCATCCAGGACAAAGCAGCCTCCTTGACAGGACCACATCCA